AAGTAGCTGGGACTATAGGTGCCCACCATAATGCCTGTTTTTTGTTGCAGTTGTCATTATTTAGCTGGCCTGGGCCAGGTTTGAACCAGCCAGCCTCAGTGTATGTGTCTGGTGCCATAACCAGTGTGCTACGGGAGCCAAGCCTGTATTAAAATTTTAAAAATTGACTAGGTGTGGTGGCTCATGCCTGTAATCCTAACACTCTGGGAGGTAGAGGCAGGTGGACTACCTGAGCTCAGGCATTCAAGACCAGTCTAAGAAAGAGTGAGATTGTGCCTCTGCTAAAAACAGAAAAACTACCTAGACATTGTGATGGGTACCTGTCGTCCGAGTCACTTGGGAGGCTGAGTCAAAAGGACCACTTGAGCCCAAGAGTTTGAGGTTGTTGTCAGCTATGACACCATGGCATTCAACCCCAGGGCAACTGAGGCTCGGTTTCAAGAAAAAAAGAAAATTCAAATTAAGTATGAATATATGGATGTAAAAATAATTCTACTTCATCTTGCAGTAAAAATGGAGAATTAGTAAGAAATATGCCATATGCTTTGTGTAAATAATTATACACACATATACATACTTCATACATCTGTCAAGTAGACTCAAAAAAGGTATTAGAAGACTAATGTGTCTGGTGGTACATGCCTGTAATCCTAGCACTCTAGGAGGCTGAGGCAGGTAGATTGCCTGACTGAGTTCACAGGTTTGAGACCAGCCTGAGCAAGAGTAAGACCCCATCTCTAAAGACAGCTGGGCATTGTGGTGGGTGCTTGTAGTCCCAGCTACTTGGCTACTTCGGAGTTTGAGGCAAGAGAATTGCTTGAATCCAAAAGTTTGAGATCTCCTGAGGGCAACAAAGTTAGAGACTCTATCTCAAAAAAAAAAAAAAAAATTCTTATATAAGTACCCATAAACTAAGGTTGGGTATTCAGGAAAAAGCAAACAGACATATGTCTGACAGATTCCAAATTTTCAAGTCCTGGTCTATAATACAACTCAATGGCAGTTATCACCTGAAGTATCATTAGATTTTATTTACAACATACCACATTTAAATTCTATAACCTAGGGCTCATGAGGTAAATGGTGCATTGGGGCAGATTCACTTACTTTAACCATTCCTTGATGGGGTCAAGAGAGGCTACAGGAATGGCATTGATCATCGTAACTTTCTTGCTGTAGTCCTTGTAGACAATTACCATATCAAAGTTCTTCAGGTGAAACTGGACCCGTTCAAAGTGTATCAGTTCTACTTCATCCAATGTTACCACAAAAGGTGGCTGTTAGGGAGGAAGTGGATCATTAGCATGTAATATTTCCCCCAAGCACTAGTTTTTTTTTTTTTT